TCTGGCAAAAAACAGAGCAAAGAATTTCACACAAATTAGTCCATTAAATCTATAATCTCTGAGCCTAGAATAAGAACTGTAGAGCTGTCATAAAGATGCTGTGCCATCTTTAGATGTGTTGCCTCCAGGGCACTGAGCATACATCGTATTTCTGGTGTGAGGATCTCTGGAAGTGTGAATGGTTCAGCATTTGTAAGGTCAGAGCCTTCACTGGTGAAGTCTTATGTGCACTGCTGTTTGTGTGTAATACATCACAGAGAACAGCAACACAATCAACTTCAGAAATCTTACTGATACAGGTGGTACTCAGCTGGCTGATAACAGAAGTCAGTGCAGAAACAGAACAATTTCTTAGCAGAATGTGATGGAAGGGGAAGGCAATTCTAGGGGAAGCTCCTGGGGGAACCTGAGTCACATTTTGTAGGTAGGAACAGACTTAAGCACATGCTTAAAGTGAGTGTGGAATCAGGTCTTGGATGCAGCCCATTAAAAGTTAGAGTCAGATTGAAGTTTCCTTGCTGGGAAGTGGTTTGAGTCTTTCCAAAATGACACAGTCTATTCTAAACTGTCAGTTCTACAGCATTTCCTTCTACATCCCTACTTAATGTGTGTTTTATATTGCAGTTCATCAGTCAGGTTTATTAGCACACTTAATTGGATCACATTAGCTGGCATTTTAGCTATCCAAAACAGTTGAGAAGGCAATCAATTAAAACATCCAAACACATTAATGATGTAGACAGAGGGTAATTTATGTAGATGGCTAATTACCTGTTTTCTTCAGTAAGTAGGTTTTATTGCCCAGGATGCATGAGAAGAAAAGAAACAGCACTACAAAAATATTGTTGGCCAAGTTGCAAAAGAAAGAAAGCAAATGGTGAAGTACAAATGTTTCTGCTGTTCAAACTGTATTAAAGGAACTCCACTGTTACCAGCACACAGATGTTCTCAGTACTGTAATATTTTAACGCGATTTTTAGAGAATGTACTGAGTGTATTACCAGGGTTTGAATGTCTTATAATACGACATCTGAGGTTTCTAAGCAATCAAGATGCTCCATAAAATGGTCATTTTAAGCGAGAAGATAATAATCAGTCTGTTTCTCATTTCATCCACTACTGATCTGGAGCTAAAGATGTGGCTCCCTTGTGAGCTCAGGGCCCTGCACACCGTGCTGTGTGGCACTGCCTGCTGTGCTCCCTGGGATCAGGAATACTCAGTGCTGACCAGGAGATGGAAGTACAACTGAGGGGCATAACAAAAGGCAGAACAGGAATGGAACGGAATCCTTATCATTCTCCTGCTTCCTGCTCACTCCTACTCCCCCTCTGGCTTTACGGCTAAATTTTTTCATTTACTGTGAGGCAGTTCAGGAATAAAACATGTAAACTTGTTATCAGATACTGTTCTTAATTTCCTTTCCAATCTGTGGGGAAATTCTTATGTCAGTTCATTCTTTCTAACTCTTGATTTTCTTGGAACCACGCAGGGAACATATAAAAACAAAAACGACTGGGTTGAATGGTGAGACACTTAGATTCACTGCTAGTTTGGCAAGTTAGACTTGGCCTGTCCTCACCCCTTCCCAGCTGTTGGATGCCACAGACAGTGATGCCACCCTGCATCTGTCTTCTACCCTCCAGGCACCTCAGTGACCACTTAAACCTCTGGTCCTGTTCCCGGAGTGGCAGAGATGCACCTTCCCATTGGCATCCTACAGAATACGAAGCACTTGTGGCTGGAAGCCACATCAGGTGCAGGAGAAAAGAGGAGGAGCATCTTGAAGCCCACAGCTCCAGAGCACTGTGCCTTCTAAGTAATGAGCTGCCTTCCCTAAGGGGTCATTAAGAAACAGCTGATGGAAACAACAGATTCTGACATACACTAGTTGAGCTGACATACGACTGAAAGCCAAGACACCAAAGGCAGGCAGCATTACAATGCCAGGGATAATTTCATGTAAGCCATTAAATTAATGATGACAGTGAGTCCTCAGAGCTTGGCAAATTGGAAATTGCTCGAAGCAAAAGCAGTACAACGATAACACAGTTAATCTTCCACAGAGAAATGATAGTAAAAGGAATGGCTTTTAGATTAGCTGTCATTAAAGTGGAACATCTGCCTCTGCAAGTCAAGTGGACTGTCCTTACTTATAAACACAGGAACTCATTAAAGTTACTGGGTTTGTGTGGCTGTGAGCCAGAGCCACATTTCCACCACGCTGCAAGTCTGGGAAGCTCAGCGGATTACACTGCAAGTCAGGAAGATGACTTCCCAGGCAATAGAGGTACAAAGATACATGTGATCCATCATTCGTGGGTTTAGATTCTCCCAGTACCTGGGAGCACATCAGTGACTGAAATTACAGAAATAATGAGTATAATATGAGTTCAAAGAAAAAAACATTTTATAGTCAGGAAAGTTTTGTTTAGCTCTGCCTGAGCTCTGAGAAAAGTTTCCATTTGAATATTTAACAGCAACCAATCTTCCATTATTTCTAAACTGTTCCCTGCCTGCTGGAGTGCAGCACGCAAAGTCAGGAAGCTTGCATAACAGTGTGACAAATATTCTCTCATCTGATATTCCTTTTGTATTTCTATTAAAAATGTGGAATATTTATAAAGCCAGTGATGGCAAACCATCATTCGTGTAGAAACACAGTCATGTTTTCAGAGCTTTCACTGTTCATTACCAGGAGCACCAGCATACCGTAATGATGTCCTGAAGCATGCTGCACAGGAGACTTCCAACAAGCAGATGTTACAAGGGAATTTCTTTATAGCCAACTTCAGCCATCAGCTGCATGCATGGAATGAGTGCAGATCTCAAAGCGGTTGGAAACAGTTCTGTAATCTTGAAAAATTCCAGCTTAACTTTAAAGAAACACACAGCAGTGATCATTGGATAGCTGCTTCTGTCCAGTTTCTTCAGTCTGGAATTGGAAACAATATCCTGTTAGAAATGGCATGTATGTAATGAAACAGTTGTGATTCAGCTGAGTGGCCCCAGGCCCTGCTATGGGTAAAGGCAATAGATAACAATGAGACTTACCAGCGTGGAGTGGGAGGGAGATGTTTGTAGATAAATATTGATGGATTTCTGGTGCATAGCTATTGCTGGCAGGGGAGACGGGGCTAAAAGGAAGGCAGCCAAACCCAGCTCCCTAGCAAGAGCAATGCTTCTGATGACTGCTGTGATAGCTTGTTTAACAGAGCAGCAGTCTGACTAGAGCCAGATTCAAGAGCAGTGATGCTATTAAGACATCTCAGGCGGTCTTCATGGACTCATTAGCACTGAGTGAAGAATCACAATTAGCCTCAGAGTTATAGCAAAAGCCAGCAATGGTGGCTGGATAATAACAAATGCTGGGCACTCTGGAAGGAAGGACTCCTTCCCTAAAACTGCGGTGTGGTTTTTTTTTTGAAAGGTAATGTCTCCTGACAAAGCGTAACAGTAGAATGGTGGAGATGTGTGAACATGTGGCATGGCATGCTTCTGGCCATTAGGTGCAAGGACTGGGCAATAGCTGAGAGAAATAGGTCACCTTTAATCCTGCCTGCTCCCCAGGAGTCCAGGAAATGAGTGTCAGAATGGGTTGTGTTGAGTGTGAAATTGTGCTAGGCATGCATAATGCAATGATGCTGCTAATCAAACCCCTCTCACTGTGACTAATCAGAAAGATCTATTTGATATTCCAAGAAATTAGTTGGAAGAGCAAGCCCACAATGGAGAAATAAAGAACAAATCAGAAGCTTGGGCACAGACAGAGATAAGGACTTTGATCACAGTAGTTTAATGTGCACAGAAAGAGGACAAAGAAGATAAAAGAAACAAATAAAAATGCTGATGAGAACAGTTTGGATCTGCAGAGAGAAGCAGCCATTAATCTAGACCATGACTAACAGATAAGAAGTGATATGCCTTCCTGGTGCTTGAAGAAATAGCAGTTTTAGGCTATTCAGGCTGAAAACAATTTTTTCCTCTGTGCAACTCTATAGCAATCTTTCAGGGCTGAATTTGGCCCCTGTCTTTAAAGAAAAAAATGCTACAGGGGCACTGAATGCAGACTGTTCTAAGTGACAAAATAGAGCATGCCAAAGAAAAACCCCAAATTTCCTCACTTGGGCCACTGGATGGAATATTAAGAACTGCATCATCCTCCCTGTTCTTTCCATGACCACCAGGTGATCTGAGGAAGGCTGCTCCCCAGTTCTGTTTTCCTTAACAAAAGAAGCATGAAAAGTTTTGGGTGTAAAAGGAAAGGGAAGAAAACCAAATATCCTATTTATACATACTGTAAAGACTGGAATTTTTAAGAATATCTCAGTGACTGTGAATTACAAACTAAAATTCAGAAAGTTGGAACTGCTTCTCTCAGCAGAGAGGCTGTTAATCCAGTGGTCTGTTGTCTGCTCTTTTTGATTCCAAGCTTAGAAACCTTCCTATAGCATTTTGATGTCAATTAGGAGCAAGAAGTGCTCGTCAATGTCACCAGGATTAGAACCAGAGTAACTTTTCTTGGCTTCGAAAGAGAAAGAAACCCATTCTTACCTGTAGCATAGCTGCCTCTGTCCCCCAGAAAACAGAGTACTAGGTTGGATGTTTCATCTCTCTTGGATCTCATCCTTCATTTTACCTTATAGTGCTGCCCCACTCCCTCATATTGCTGCTGATTATTGCAGTTCCATCAGAAAATGGCACCTGTTCCATTCAGGACGGGGTAGCTGAGCGCTGTAACACAGGATGCTTCACAAACTTACAAACACATTACAAATGTTACTTTCAAGTGACCTTTTTGGCTCACAAAATAAAGCTATTTAGCTCAACAGTGTGCATGAAAGCTAATCAAATAAATAGCAAGGAAATACGCAGTCATTTCATAAACTGCAAGCTATTGGAGTGTTTTCCTCCACTGTGGCTGGAACCAATGTGGTATGCAATTAATTAGTCAGTTTAGCTAGATATTCCTCACAAAGCAGAGCTTACTTTCTTCCACAGTGATTGTAAACAATATTGAATAATGTCATTTGCCTTGTTCTTATTAGCTCTGTTGGTCAGTTTTGTTTCACTCTGATATTATTTACTTCTAGTCTTGCTGTGCCACGTTCAGTGCCGTGATCCACTGCATAATTATCATGAGCATCTTGTCCTTGCCTTATTCTTGCAGCCTCACAAACAAACAAGAAAACAGTCACAGGCAGATCCCCACAGACACATTAATGTATGCTACAGCCCGATGCCTCTCGCTTGAGTCTTGTTTTCAGCTTCTTAAGGTCGGGATTATTTTGATCAATTTTAAGGCCATAATCTGTGATTTTCCAGGCCTCTTCATAATGCTGCATTTCAAAATTGCTTTGTGCAATCTTATGAAAAGTTTTTGCTACATTTTCACTACCAGAGCCATTCATGATGCTGCACAGTGCCGTGGATTCATCCAATTGCAGTGCTTCAACATACTGTTTGACTGCTGCTTCTTCCTGTGACACTGACAACAGCAGGCGTCCTTTTGAGCAGTGGTCCTGAACTCGTGTTCTCAGGCTGTTACAGCCATGCTTCTCGATCACTTTCTCCATATCTTTTAAAGCTTTGTCATATTTTTTGAGGTGCATAAAGCAAGCAGCCCTCTGTCGGAGGTATCTTGGGTTGTCTTTGCTTGTCAAGATAGCCAGGGTAAAGTAACCAAGAGCCTTCTTATAATGACAGCCTTTAATCAGAACATTTCCTTCTTGGGCTGCTACCTACGGGACATGAAGTTAGTTAATATTAGAAGGGCAGTAGCGGGGAAGTGAATTAACCAATCCAGCCTGGCCACACATATGGTAACCTATGAAACGTCTTTCAACTTTTTCAACTGCTGAAATTGCATCTAGTTGGAGAAATGTACAATTGGCAGATATAAAAACCAATCAGGCAATGGGCACTTGCTGTTATCTCAAGGGTTGCTGAACCAGATCCCTTGTTTCTGCATGTGCTGCTAAAACCTGCTCAGAACATTGCCTCTGAAGTTGTTTATGTCCTTAAAAAATGGTATGTGAACTGAAAACAGAATGGAGCTAACTAAAACCAGGCAGCATTCTGTTCATGAAAGCACATTTCTGCCATCTTTTCTAACAGGTAAGGAAATGGAGTGTTCTGGTCGACAGTGTCAGCCCCACAGACATTTGCATGAACTAATTAGTGAAGATTGGTCTCTTCTGATAAGTGTCCCAAAGCTACAGGAAACAAACCAACTGGTGGCTGTGTTGATCTCCATTAGTGAACTATCTGCCCTTATCTTAAGGGAAAAACAACATGAAAATAGAGAAGGCTGAAAGCCACATAATTTTTAGTCTTATAAAGGTCAATAAAAAAAACTCCATTAGACCTATTTGCCTCGAATGGATGTCTCATTATCTCTCTTTATTGGTAATAAACAAAGCTTTTAACATGCTACAGCAGAGCATTTAAGTTATAAACAAGGCTGCCACCAGCAGCTTTGGTCGTACAGAAGGCTGAGCCAAACAAGCTGAGATGCGAAGCACAGGATAAATGTTTTCATCAGCCCGATTCCACGGGATGTCACACGTTTGGGATGCTTGTAGCTACTGAAAATTCAGTTAGCTCAGCCACTGCCTCAGCAGCTATGCCTGAGCAGTCTCTAAAAGCCACACATGACATGGCACAGGTCCTCTTCCAGTCTGCCTGTGTGTCTTGGCTCTGTTTGCTGCTTAGATTGAACTGCTTGCTGTTTAATGCAAGCTAGGAAAACAGGTTAACACTTTTATTCCTAGAAATTCTAAAGTTCTGGATCACATTGCTCTGAAGAACAATGCTGTGTTGTGGGCAGGCCATACAGATTTTGAGATCATTTCTATAGGAGTGAGTTCTGGACATCCCTGGGCAAGGAGCTGGCAATCAGCCACACATGTAACTTCTGACATAGGAAACTGAAGGGCTGAAGCTACACTAGGAGCAAGCAAACTCCCTTCCTCTGACCTTTTGCAGTTTAAGAAACCTTTGAGATTCCTGTTCCCATGTGGCTTCCCCAGTTGTTTACAGATTCCTTAGCATGGGACCCTTTGCACTATAAATAATAAAAGAATGTCATTACTTTGTTTTTCATGAAAAAAAAAGTAGCACATCAAGAAGCTTTCCTCGCTCCACCCTTTCCTGTGCAGCTCACGTAGAGTTATTTCTAGCTTTCCAGACCAGACTCCAGGATAACAGGATAGCTACAACTGTTTAACATAACAATAACAAATTGTTCTGGTCCCCCTGCGTATGTATTGTATGTATGTATTGTATGAGTATGTATGTATGATCACCAGGATAGGTGATTTATTTCTGGAATACCTTTAATCCCCAAGCAATGCTCTGCTAGACAAAGACTGGGTAAAACCCTGACCTCTTCATTTCAGTCTCCTCATTTGAGAAGTGGAGGTATCAGAAAGAACGCCCTCCCCCTGCAGTGTAGTTAGGAGCCACTGCATAGTGAGACCAAAATGGTTTTCCTTACACAGATTCTCTCTAAAAGCCTTTCTGACTTTTCTGAGACCTTCCTTTCAAACACAAACTGGAATAACATTGTGGGCAGAAGAAAGTACAGTCGGAAAGATCCTTTGTGATACTGTGCAGGTAAATTAACTGCTTCCTTCCTCACCTAAGCAAAGTAGATATTTATCCACTTGTCACAAAATACATAGCAAAAAACCCCAACCATTTCTGGGCTAATCAGCAGTAAAAGTTATCATGCTCCATAAATCTCTGCAGATTGTAGAACAGAGAAAGATCCCAGGTTCTTGAGTCCAAATGTTTACTTGATTTGCACAAAAAAACCTGAGATAATAGATGAAGAAAATATAGATCTTATTTGACTTCCACCACAGGCGTTGAGTTCCAATCTCAAAATCAATCCAGCCACCTTCATTCTTGGAAGTGGCAGAGAAATCTTTTGTGATAAATAAGCACCAGTAAGGGGTTCTGCTCCAGCCTTTGTTCCAGAGCTGAAAGAAAGAGGCAGAAATAAATAAAGTGCCTCTCCCCCTTTAAAGGATTCACTCATCTGTGCCATCAGTTGAAACTACAGGAATTCATTTCTTTCAGACTGATAGCATAACAATCCCTCCTGCACTGGCTCAGAAGGCAGCACGGATGGGCTCAGCTGTGAGACCTCTATACAGTAAGAGTGATGTGGCAGCAAGGGAAATTTAGCTGTAAAACTTATCTTCATGTATAGATTCCTCCTTAGGGCCCTCACAGACACATTCTTGATTGTACCTTTATCAGCTTTATGTAGTGAAAGATTGTAAATTGGCTCTAAAATCTCCAAACTCTTCCCCAGAAGACTGAACTTTCTCCATTATTCAGGAGACAGGGGCTCTTTTCTCTGTAATGGGGTATATCTAGGGACTGGTAAATTAATACTTGTTTACTTATATCCTCCTGCTGTTTTGCTAAAATACATACAAAGCACTCCTCTCTAGATGCATTTAGGTTATCAGCATGTTGTTTGTTTTATAACCTGGGAGAAAACATAACAATATAGCTTCTCACCAGGGCACACTCAATCTACAAATTGAATAAAAGGAAGCAAACTGATTCTCAGAACACAGAGCTTCTGGGTAATCAGAATTGCAGATGCATGAGTGAATGTTAAAGCTCCTCACCATCAATCCGACCTTGTCCTGTCTTGTTACTGGAGATGCTCTCTCAGAGCTGAATGCAATTTGGGAGAGAAACTTAAAACAACAGTGAAAAATACATACTCAGGGGGACCAGAACAATTTGTTATTGTTATGTTAAACAGTTTAGCTAAGAAAACCAAAACCAAATCTCTCCAACCTCAAAGACTAGTCATTTAAAAAATGTGAGTATATTTAAAATCCTAAAGATTGCATTAAAGGTTTGAAGCGTTATATGTGATTGAATCAGAACCTTTCGTTTCATTTTAGAAGGAAAATGAACAAAACATGAATTCCCTTTCCCAGAAGCCAGCTCTGAGCACCATATAACTCACTGAGAGTATAATATGAGCAATGATCTCGTTAAATCTCTAGCTCCTCCTCACCATCCCCTGCATTTTAACAGTGGGAATAAACAGGTTGTATGCTAGAGAGCCCAACAATAAATTCCCCACGTGGCAGGAAGTGGTGATGAATTATTAGAGACTGAAGCAATGAAAGAAATTGAATCCAAACTCTCCAATCTCAGATTGGCTGGAGTGAAGGATGGAGGAAGAACCCACTTTATTTCTCATTCTTCTGATGATGATGTCTTCCTGCATACTTCTGTTCAGGACAACACCATGAACATCTCCACAGCCTGATTTTTCTTCCCATTTATTTTCCCCCTGAATCTACAGATGTGGCCATCAAAAAAGGATTGTACCTGAGAGAGATGCTGCTGTTGCTTAGCATCTACAAAGTTCAGGAGGAACTCCAGCTCCCTTTCATCTTTCTTAGCTAGGATGCTGAATGAGTGAGCTGCCGCTGCCACGTTCCTCTTCTTCAGCTGCAACACAGCCAGTCTTGCACTAGCAACCTCATCAGCAAAGGAGTGCCCAAATGCCTCCTGAAGGTGAACAAGGGCCTCTTCATACCTTCCTGTTGGTTAACACCAGTACAGGCTATATAACCCACTTCATGTGGAGAAAGCAACATCAATAAAACTTACTAAAGCAAACTGTCCACGGTTCATACCTAGGAGCATTAATTACTGCATATCCTCCCCCAAAACTTTTGCAGGCTTCTCTTGAAAACTACCATACAACAGACATCTTGTACTGTTGCTACGTAACATTTACTTTTTATCAATTGTTGAATCATTTGTTCACTTGTTATGACTAGCTGTGTAAAAGAACTGGTACTCACCATTTGCAATCAAAACATCCGTATAGAAGGTGTGATACTGTGCTTCCTTGCGAATTTTTATTAGTGCTCCTGCAATCACAAGCAGGTCTCTGAGGGTTCTTTCTTCCTTTGAAAAGTCTTTGGTAGCAACAAGCTCAGCTAACACAGTTCTGCTGTGCTGAAGGAGCCACTGAGCGACCAGCTCTTGGGCTTCGTGCTTTAGAGACAGGATTGCTGGGATTACCATTCCTGCCTCTGCCTTCAGCGCCAAGACCAAATCTTGCACTGCCTCCTATGTAGAAATGAGACCAAAAATGAAGTGGTAACAATACCTACATATTGGTATGTATTTTTTTCTAATATTTCCAGTTCTCAGCTGCATTTAAGCATGCAAAACAACCAATAAAACCCGTTCATTACTGCAAATTTCTGCTATCTCAAAAAGCAAACTGGCAGGCAGGCGTGCATTGATTGGATACGGGAGGGCACATTTCTCTCCCTCCACTTCCCTCTGTCCTTAGGTGAATACAGACACATAAATGATAGGAGGTGCAAAAGTTCTAAGAACAGAATTGTTAATTGTTCCACTCTGGCAAGGAGAATCAGATCTGGCATCATTGCATTCCCCAGACTTTCCATCTAGCTTGTGTTAGGGGAATGAAGATTGATGATTGTGCTGAAGTCCAGACAGCAGTTGTTTTTGCAGTCAGACAGTTCCAAGCAGCAATTAAAATTCATCATTTTACACAGTGATAACACTGTCTCAGACTTTCCTTGCAGCCACGAGCAATGTAAATGTACTGTTCAGACCATTTTACACAAAGATGAGTTTTGCCCATTGGTTCGCATCTAACTGTGATAAACCTTTCTTGGTCATAAACTATCTCACACTTTACAGAACAGCTGCCAACCTAAAATACAGAGTGAATAAATTCAACCCAGTCACATCAGCTCGAGATGCTACATCTCATCTGACACAAAACTGCGACACGAAAATGTGAGCTCAGATACAAGGGAGAGTTTGCAGCATTGCAGAACAACGTATTGTAGTGATGGTGAATATGGTATGACTGAGGTTTAGTCTCCTTCTCTCTAGATTTGGGAAAGCAACTCAGTTACGTCAAGTGGGCTGTTTACACAAACAGCCAAAAGCAGAGCCGTCACCGGGCAAATTCTCTGAGAAACTCTTCCTTTCAGTGAGTCCATGGCAAAGACTGGGTATTTTATGCTAATGTTACACTACCAGAAAATTGACCAGCATATTGATAGTGATACCTTTTGCTGCTTTAGAGCAAGGTAAATTAATCCTCGCCCACTGAGAGCACGCACATTGCCAGGGTCCTCTTTTAAGACGGCATTAAAATCAAAAATAGCAGTTTTCTTCTGACCGAGGTGCCCGTAGCATTGAGCCCTGATGAGGAGGCAATCTTCAGCATAGCCACCTGGAAGAGAGAAATGCAGTCATGCTTACTTTAAAGATCTCAAGCCTACTGATCTAAAGTAGGGTGCAGTAAAGTCCCACTGTGTGCAGATGACTGAGCTCCACCAAAAGGCTTCATAGTGAAAATGATGTGGTAGATTTATATGCTGTGGAAAGTACGGGTTGTTTTGGCTAAGACAGCAATCCAGATGGGACTGTCTAATTGACTGCCACATTAATGTGCACTGGAATTTGTGACACTAAAATTCTTTTTCTCTGCTTTAAAATACATGCTGCCCAAATAAAAAATATAGTCAGTGATGAAAAGTATGGTCCATTCATCCACTGTGTGCAGAGCATAAATCCTTCCCCCGTCCATGCAGCCCTTCCTTTCAAGCCAATTTTGATCAGGGTCTTAATTTGCCTAGAGTTGCAATCAATAACTGTGTCATCCCAATACTGGATTATAAATTATCAGTGCCACTGTAAATATTTTTTTATTGGGCAAATGCAGCATCTTGCACAGCTGCCTGCGGAGATGAGCCAGCAGACAGACCCCTAGCAATTATTTTACAGTAATGAGGCTTTTTCTCTCTCCTGATATGCTCCAAAACTTCTGTACCAAAAGTTATTATCTGTCTGGAGCCCTATCAATTGGCTCCCATAAAGACAATGTCTATTTCTTAACAAGCATCTGTTCTACCAGGTGGGGGGTTGATAAGCTGGAATGTACGGGCTGTGAAATGGAACCATATCAAAGCAGTTAACAGCTTTCCATTTTCATAAACCACTCTCTCTTCTTCTCAATGCTACTGTCATAACATTTTCTCTGGGTGAAAAGCAGATTTCCATACAAACATGGTTTTGCTTGGAATGTGCCAGAAGCATTTCCATATCAGCCTCATGTCTCTCTTGAGGAAAAGCTGGGATAATGATCCATGTAAGTGGGTGCATTTACTCTTTTGCATTGGAAGCACACAGTCACAGGTATGTTGGAACTGGAAGGCAGGTTACTTGCTTCAGTGATTACACTTACATGATGTTCATTATGAGGAATGGGAGGTCCCAAGTAAATGCTATTGGTAGGAAGGTTTGCAGAGTATTAGCTGATGTAACAAAGGCTAACTCAGGACCCTTCTGCCTTGAAGCTATCAGCTGAAAATAGTGAAAGCTGAACCTTTTTCAGTAGCCCTTTCAAATTGCTTACTTGCAATTTTCGAGGAAAAGTACATTTTTAGATAACAGGATCCCAAATTTCTCTTCACATTACCAGCTTTCTGGCTCACTTCAGTTACCTCTGTGCAGTTACTCATTGAAAATCAATCACCCACTGATCTGATTTCCCACAGAGGTAAATCTCCTATCCATATCTTTATAATCTTACCTGAAGCAATGATGGCAAAAGAAAGATAGGCAATGGCCTCTTTTATGTCAGCATCTTCCCGTTTGTTCTTCAGGATGCTCAGTGCCCTGGAACGGCAGTGAGTTTGCATCAGCTTCCTGTCTTCATCCTTGAAAATGTCCATGATTGGCAGGAGGCAGGAGGTATCCCCAATTTTGATCACTTTCTTTAGCAGCTTAACAGTGTGAGAGAAAAAGATAGGAGAGACAAGCATGGAAAGATAAATGAAGTAAAGAACTGCTAAAGCTGGAAATATTACTGTCTAGTGAGACAAGCATGCTCTCTCCCAGTGCTTCTCATGTTGTGCCAGCCACGGTCCACCCAGAGACCATGAATCTTCTCTACCTAACTCCTCAGCTGGCCCTAGAGTAACAGCCTGCTGGGAAAAAAGCACATCTCTTATCTTGTCTTATCACCTCTGTAGCTGTGGCAGTCATCTTAGTGGGTCCACTACTCTTGCTTCGGTTACTTTGAGCAGAATCAGCTCTTTCAGACTGCCCATTAACTTGTTATAAATACAGCTGGACCACAGGATGATTGCTCATGGAAAAGTGTCCTGCCTGACATATGATGTCTTTGCCTCCATTCACTACAAAAACCACCGAGCAGTTTTTACTACATTTCTTAAGGAAAAGAATCAGAGGTGTTTCCTGCGGGAAAGTAAGTGCTTAACTCAGCATTGAAATCTGAGCTGGAGAAGCCAGAAAGACAAGAGCAAAATTATCCTGGTGCACCAGACACATCTGACAAGCAGGTGGCACAGAAACATCTTAAAGAGAAATTTTTGGTGACATATATTCCATCTAGAAGTTGCAGCAGAAAGCTGCAGAGAGGAGTCCAGCTTCCAAGGGCTACTTACTGACTCTACTAAAGTCATGTCAGTCATTAATAGTTTTCTTTCAAAGGCAGCAAATTATATTTTATTTAGTATATTTTTTCACAGAAATTGATGGCAACGAAACCTGAGAACATTGTAGCTGAAAGTTTATATGGGATTTTAAAAAATGCAATAGTTCCCTCTGATGGTGGGACCTGGTAATTCAACTTAGTAATACTTGATTGGAGAATCAACCTGTGGGAATCTCTTCCGTGGTTTCAAGCAAAACTTGCTAGCCACATTCACCATACCATCATTGCTGAGTTGCAGCCAGGCGCTCCCTACCTGATTGCCATCATACATGAAACCTTTCTTTAATTGCAGAAGTGCGAGTCTAGCCAGGACGGGAGATCTTTGTGGATTTCTGGAGAGTGCTAATGAGAGCAGCTTGTGAGCTTCTTCTACCCAGCCCATCTGGTACAGAGCATCGGCACAAAGGATCCGTGATGCCTCATCAGAAGGGTCCAGTTCCATCAGGAGAGAAGCCAGCTGGTAAACCCCAAGGGCATCCCTGAAGAAAAAAAGAGAAGAAAAAAAAAAGAAAAAAGACAACCTTCAGGTAAAATGCTAATAATAATAACGGAACCCCTGCATCTCATCTGCAAGCTAAGATATAAGTCAGTATCCAATGGATGATGTGTTCTGCCATAGCTAGCACCACAGAAATCTCTGTCACTTAATTCTATAATCATTATCCTTTATGAAAACATGTTCCTAAGCAGCTGTGGGTCTAAAGAAAGGTTAACAACATGTGATTCATACCTGTGGTTGCGGTGATACCACAATGGGAAAACAAAATGTAACAGTGATAGTGGGAAAAAATAAAGTGTTGTTTCTACTGAAGAACCATGTGCTAAAATTTGCATGGACTCAAAAGAACTGTGTTAATGGGTTCCTGAAGCAGTGACCTGTGTCTGAGGGCCTGTGTTTATGTCCTGATCTACCAAGTGCAACACTGAGTTAGCATGTTCTTCTGTGCTTCAGTTACAGCCCTGAGCACTGGCTGTGAAATGTGTAACAAAAATGCACTCCCTGCTACCCAAGTTCAGCTGTGTTTGTTTTTCTGTCTACAGGCTGAACTGCCTCCTGGGTACCTCTTCATCTGGAGCATCTTCTGTCCCTCTTCCTGGAGAACCTTTAGCAGCAATCCTCTTTGGTTCCACGGCACATAGGCCTTGATGGTGAAGATGGTTTCTTCTAGCTTTAACTGGCAAGCTGTGATGTAATCCAGGGCTGTCAAGTAATGGCTGCCACCAGAAATTCGGATAAGTCCACGCCCACATAAGGCTTTAATACAGCTGTTAGGATGAGGGGAATCATGCTCAATGACCTTTTGAAAGTCCTGCAGGGCTTGCTGATGATCATGAGAATGGAGGGCACAGAATCCTCGCAATGCTAGGAGAGTATTGTGATAAGTTTTCTGCTCTGCTGCCAGGAGCTGGTCACAGATTTCCAAGGCACCTCTGATGTGTCCATGCAGGAGATGGCAGTCTGCCAGCCGGACTCTGAGCTCACGTTTGGACCCCGGGGAGATACGCAGGAGGAAAAGCACTGTTTGGATTACAGAAGGGAGCAGTTCAGTACAACGATTGCTTCTGAGTTCTGTCCGAGCACGCACAGCCTCCCTGTATGCTGCAAACTTCACTTCCAGGACAGTTCTAGCCTGTTCTTCTATCTTCTCAGTGTCAGGTGGTGAGAAAAGCTCTTCAAAGTGCTTCATTGCCAGGTCAGGGGTTGCTGCAAAGGCTTCTGCTAAATCCTGCATCATTTCCTGCATCCGGCCACCCAAGAAAAAATATGCAGCAGCCCGTTCCAAGAGCAGACCCAGCATTTTCTCATCTCTGAGACTATTGTCTACTGACAGTCCCTTAAGGGCCTTGCTACAAACTGCCACACACTCCTCAAATTTGCTTTTCTTAAAGAGGTAAGCTGCCTGCGCTCTGCAAACCCAGACATCACCTGGTGCCACTGCAGACAAGAAGGCGTAGCAGTTGCCCAGCCAGTGGTCCAAGGAACTGCCATCTGGGCTTTCTTTCTGATACGTTGAGAGAAAATTAGAGAAGGCCTGGATGATCTGTGGCAGATGTTCTTTTTGCCTGGTACACACATAGGCCACTGCCTCAGCCTGATGCCTCACAAACACTTGGATGTAGTCTGCAACTCCCTTTCTAATCTGTGTCCCCGACAGCACCCATGCCAACGCCCTGAGCAGCAGCAGTTCTACTGAATACTTTGGATGAGCCTTGAGCAGAACATTGCATTTGCTCACCACCTCCTCTGAGCAACCCTGCCTGAGCAGGGCCTCCATTTTATATATCGAGGACAGCACGTTGTCAGGACTTAGGGTGGAGAGAAAGACAGCAGCTACTTCCACTCTGAGCGACGCGATGGCCACCTTCTTGCTCTGGATCTTGGGAATCTGGCTCTTACCCCTGCACCACATCTCCAAGGTGGCAATCACTCTCTCCCAGAGCCCGTTCTCTAAGGAGTTCACTTTCTGCAGGGCTGTGGGAGCGCTGCAGCTGAAGGCGGCCACGTAGAAAGCCGTGGCTGTGGGCAGCTCCTGCTGGGCGAGGTGCTGGTCCCCTTCTCTGCAGAGCAGCACAGCGAGCCCCTGGGGTGACATTGCCAGCACCTGTATCCTCACCGAGGAGCGTCACAGGAGCATCTAGAACAGCCTGTAAAACAAAATCAACACGAGGGGCCGCTGAGCACAATTTCTCCGCATTTGGGGCACGCAGCTTCCCTACGGACGAGCCAAAGCCCCGGGACGAACCGGACGTTCCAGCGGGGAGCAAAGCCACGAGAAGAAACACACAACCCAGGTTAACAGCCCACATCCGCGCGTCTGCAGCAGGAGTGAGCAGGAAGGACGAGGCCGAGAGCAGCGCAGGGCTCCTCGCGGGGCGCCGGGGGTCTCGCCCTCCCTCTCACCCCCACAGGTACCTGGCAGCGGCGTTCGGCGGAGCGGCCCGCGGCTCCCGAGGCGAGGTGAGGCGGCGGGGCGGGGGGGGGGGGGGGGGGGGGGCCGGGGGCCCCCAAAGAGGGGGGGGGGGGGGGGGGGGGGGGGGGGGGGAGGCGTTGCCTGGAGACCGCAAACACGGCGGCAGCGGGGCGGGCCGGGCCGGGCAGCCCGGGCCATCAGCCTCGTTCTTAGACGTTTACGTGGGGGAAAAAAACCCATTTGTGATTAATAGAGAGTTTTTGACATTTTATTAAGAGTTTGGCCGTTAATTTGATTTGATTACTTTCACTTTAATTACCCTAATTAGCTATCAAGATATAATTTAGCATTGCCATCACATCAGGCCTCTGGTGATATCGGCAGGAAAGACTCGAGGGCATAACAAGGAACTGTTCTGAAATAGAAATCCCAGTGGAAGGAGCAGAGCTGATCGGACGTTGTGGCTCTGCTGGGAGCTGCGCCAGGCTGCACAAATCCTCACTGCCATTTGACTTCACTGCGGGCTGTGGTGCCACGTTTTGCATGCAGAGAACGTGGAGGATGCTGGCATCCTCTGTTCATTGTTTCCCTTCGAGTCCCTGTTTAGCTAAGGATGTGTGTGGAGGGATGCTGGTACCGTCCGTATGAACAAGGCTGGCCAGAGAGGTGGCAGCAATGTGAGGAGATGGTTTTCCTTACTCAAGGTGCTGTACCAGGCTGTACCCTCGGTACAGGTGGCAATGCAGCTTACAGATCCTGGCTCCTCATGGTTTTCGTGATTCAGCAGCCAATTTGCTGCCTGTCCTATGGGGCAGATATGGCAAGCTCTGTTTCTAGGATCATTAAAAAAAATGCGAGAGAAGAAGGAAAAAAAGCATAGACGTGTTTATCTAAACATTCATTAAATATTAAGTTTGCTACACAGTCGTTAAATATTAAGTACAATACAATAGCTCCTCATGATGTCTCTGACTGGTGATTAATTTTTAAAGGGAGCTGAGTGGGAAGGGATTAAAGGCACCACAAGTGGCTTTGCAAAGCAGGAGATGCACTGACACACTGCAGTAACTCTTTTCAAGGGGAGCTGGCTGAGAAATCTTGTACTTCTTTTAAGGGTTCTCAGTGCCTGCAGTGCATGTAATGAGCCTTCCCCTGAGAGCTTTTAAATCAGTCAGCTGGGACTGCAGGTGAGAAACCAGAAATGCACAAAATGCTGCTTAGAAAATGAACCATCTCTGATGGGAGGAGTGTGATGGGGTGGGCATTAACAACTCAAAAGCAGGGAAAAAACTTGGTAGATTTTCCTGAGTAACATTCTTGAAAAGCACTCTTCTCTCTTGGTATGTTGGTTGGAGAGCAGGCACCAAAGTCTGCTCTCATTTAGCCTGGTGTAAGTAAGCACAGGGTAGGGAATGAGGATGACTTGTACTAAATTATACAGGCTGGGCAACTGAATGCCCACAGCACTGAAGTCAAGAAGCTCTCTGCTGATTTACTAAGCTGTTAAGCCACCCGATGAAATTTCATCCCTATACATATTTAGTTCCACAGCCGCAGTCTGCCAGGAGCATTAGTCTGCTGGTAACTGCTGTCAAACAAAGTTGGGATATTGTCTTGTGGAGGAAATCTGCACTCCTGGCATTGTATCCCCATGACAGCTGCTGCTGCTGTTCCTTTGTCTTAGAGGTCTCTGTTTGGAATCTGCTGTTTTAAACTGTGTTATTGACAGATCTGCTTCCTAACGCTGTCTGGTGTACAAACGTACCCAAAACCTTTCTTTTTGGGATGTTCAAGTTCTCAGTCTGCTATGGGTTGCTTTTGATGCTATGATAGCCTGCTGGTAGGTCAAACCTTTGAGTCCTGGATAATCACAGAACTAGAACACATCCTGGGAAAACTACAAGGAGATTAAACTGGTGGTTGTAAAGAACTTTGTAAAACATGGGTGAAAAGTGGTGTGTGTCACAGGAGAAGTTTTAATCTTTATGGCCCAACCCAGTTACTCTGGATCTTGATGGATTTTGTAAAATGTGGCTTTACTCAAGATTCTCAGTAAGGCCTTGAAGAGGTGATGGTCTTAAATCTTCCCTTGGCTTTGCAGTGCGTAACTATAGATGTTTTGATACAATAAGCATCCTGCATACCTGTGCCTGCATACCTTTATGCACTCAGAAAGCCAGCGTGATATCCTTCTGCACCGGGCTATTTTCATCTGTTTCCCCCAACAAGAACAACAGTGCAGAGGGCTGCAGGCTCCCTGATGGAGAGCAGGATTAAGATGCACTTGAACAAGATTATAAGATAAGAGTTGTCACTCCATTAGAGAAAGCAATAATCCTTTTGTTTATATTCTAGAGATTAAAGCAGCAACAGCACAAAACCCCCAAAGGTCACCACACACATGCTTTGCTCTCGGTTATTTTCTGTAATTTAACTGTGGGATTCAGCAGCGCAGTTGCATAAATTAGTTAATTCTCCAACTCCTTGCTCTGGTAATAAGACGGATCTGTTTATTCTGGAGACAAATAGGTGCGCTTGAAATTGAACAAAGGCCCTCGAAGGGAACGAAGTGTTTCCAGGGAGTATTAATAGCTTGGAAGTAATGGTGCTTCTTGGCTGCTGAATCCACGTGTGTTTCTTGAGCGCCTGGGAAGGGTTCTGCAAGGCTTCTGTTCTCCCTGTCTGTGCTGCCATAGGCGCAATGTACATGCCTCTTGGCAGTAATTACCTCTAATAAGCTTGTGTTCAATCAAAAAGCAACTGTCTTGGCTGATAAGGACAAGCCCAACTTTTCTGACACTTGAGAAGGAAGAACTCCATTCAGGTATGAGCAGATGCTGCCTGTGGGTCCACATCCAGAGTGTGCACGCTGAGTGTCCCCCTGTATGAAGCACTGTGCTGCCCTGAGGTTTGTGAGTCAACATCCATCTGCCTCTCTGATGCCACATCCTCTGATAAAAGACTCAAGTCTAATAGTTTTTACCTGAAATTTCCTGTGCTGAGCTGTTTCAATAGCATTGCACAGCCAAACTTCGCAAGTACAAGATTTTCTAGATGGAAACTGCTGAAATCAATGTCAGTTGCACCACATGTAACTGGAGAGCAAGACTAACATCTAAATAGCAAAATGTTTTGGCATACTGGGTTTTCCATCTCTTCCGACCCAGCATTTAGACAGTCTGACATCTCAACTCACTCAGCAAGGAAGCTGCTGGGACAGGCTGGGGCACACCTGAACAAATGGCTGGTGCAGAACGGCCATCATCAGGTTTTGTTTCTGTGCTGGTTGTTTGCTGTGTTTGTTTGGAATGTAAGCTGCTCAGGCTGAGGGTGGTGCTGGCATGATGAGCATGATGGGCTGCATCTCTGCAGAGATCTCCCAGCCCGGACAGGATGTGAGGAATAACAAACAGTGAGGTATAAAATAAAGGAGGCTGTTGCAGCATCATGGTAGGTGTCCTGCCAACTTGTGTTATGCACACAATGGTAACCAGCCTGCTTTTTCTCCTCTGTTAGTATTGAAACTGACTGCTTTTGTTTCCTCTTGTTCCTTCCCTACTTGACAAGCAAATGGGGATAAGAACACATTGTTAAGGGATAAGTTATTTGGCTGCACTAAGTTTCTAAATCATATTGGTTTGAACTAAGTTCATCAACCAGGCATGGAAACATTAATCACCCAGAAAAATAACACGCAGTGAAATGACTTTTCAAAATGTCGTTGGTATAATTATCATCTTGGCCATTACATTAAATGCCACCATTTATAACTGTTACGTTTAAGTATGCAAACAGTAATTAACTTGGTAATGAAATGAGGACCCCTGTGCCTCTCTTCCCTCAGCTAATTTGCATGTTAATTATCATTAGCAACCAGGGAAACAAGTTATAAACAACTTAATTAGCAGCTTAATCATTTTTACAAGAAAACGCGCTGCACTTTGATACATGAGCAGGAGTGAGATTAATGGAGGCGGGCGGCCGTGCAGCCGCTGCAGGCAGCCCAGGGACACCCAGCTGTGGGCGCACGCTGTGCTCGGCTGCCTGCGCCCTGCTCACGGGGCGCCGGCCCTGCAGAGGCTCCGTCAGCTTTGGGCAGCAGTTGCTTCTCTCTGCCATGCCTGCTTTACGTGGTGGCTTTGGGCTGGCGTTGGGCGCTCAGCCTGGCAGCGGCCCCGGGTGTGAAGTTTGGGGTTCTGCGCGTGCGCCGAAATCCTCGATGGACAAATACGCAGATGGGGCTCTCTGTGTTGCTTATACAACGGTTAAAATGTCAGTGTGGGAATTAGTCCCCATTAGTCTGCCAAGAGCACTTCTCATCTGGTCAAGAATCAATCATTTGATGAAAGGCAATAGAAATTTTGTCATAACACGAGGAGACATCGTCTAAGGAGGTTGTGGAATGTCTGTCATCAGAGCTTTGGGGAATGGGTTAGATAAACATCTGCAGGAGGTGCTTTGGGTGCTGTGGAGCGAGCTGCAGGAGGGGGCAGAGCTGAGGGCTGAAGGCAGACGGTTTCTGTGATGTGGTTGCAGAGTGACTGTGACGGTTACAGGGAGATGTGCAGGCTGCCAAAATCACTGCACGGCTGGCCTAAGGTCAGGCTGCCTCCCTTCCTTCCACGAGAACCGAAGGATTCTCACTGTTAGGCTGAGTAAAGCAATACCTACTCGGATGAAGT